TATTTTAAAGGAGCAGATATCAAAAGATTTTTTTCTTCTTCTGCTGCCTTTCTTTTTATTTTGTTTTGTATTGTTTTGTTGTGTGTGAAATGTTTTTTAATGAAACGAATAAATGAATTTGACTTGACTTGAACATTGGGGTGCAAAAAGTGCTCTTATATGATGTATGTTCTCAGAAAGTATTAAAAAGTTGTAAATATTTTTTTATAAATATTAATTTAAGAGAGTACAAGCTTCCTCTGATTCAATATCTGATTTTGTAGCTCCAAACACTAGATCCTCATCTAGTGTGAAAATACTGTGCTTTATTTTTCTTGTGTTCTAGGCTGTGGTTTTAAGAGTTTGTCTCACAGTTTATGGAACAAAGCTGTTTCTCAGTCTGGTGGTTTTGCACCTGATGCTCTGCAATCTCCTTCCTGAGGGAAGTGAAACAAAAAGTGTGATTGCTGGGTGGGAGCGGCCATCTTCCTGCATCTGGAGGTGTAGATGTCCATGGRGGTGGGGAAACTGGCTCCAACTAATTTCTGTGCAGCCTTTACCGCCCTCTGCAGAGCTTTCCCTTCTGCAGTGCAGCTTCATATACTTCCATTTCTTCTTTTTCACTCAGTAAAATACAAGACACTGTAGAAATAAATGTGTAGTTCAATATTTTTTTAACAGTCCAGTCTTTATCATTCTCCTAAATATGCATATTGATGTGGCACTTTTAGCATAATCTTCTAAATTATTCCACAGTCTCACTCCCTGAATTGAGGTGCATCGTTCTTTCAAACATGTTCTAAATTTAGGTTTCATGAACATCTCTATTCCCTTAAGATTATAACAGCTTTCTGTCTTTGTAAAATGTATCTGAACATTTAAAGGTAATGGATTTCAGTGTGCTTTATACATAACTAACAAAATATTATTATCAATCAAATCATAAAATTTCATTAATTTCAGTTTACAAAATAATATATTAGAGGGATAATGGTATTTTTTCTAGTGATGACTCTTATAGCCCTTTTCTGCTAAATAAAAACAGGATTTGTAATTAATCGTCTTACATGCTTTACCCCATACCTCAACACAATAGACCAAGTGTGGAACAATTAATTTATCATATAACATATACAGAACTTTATCAATGAACACGCCCCTTTGTAAAGCAATGCAATAGATTTGGCTAATTTTATTCTTAAATAATTTCTCGTGAATAATAACACCCAAAAACCTCACCTCACTGATTCTACTTATCTCCACACCATCAACTCTGAATGGAATGTCAACAGTTCTTTGTCTCTTTGGAAATTTCATATAATTAGTTTTGTCCAAGTTTAACGATAATTTGTTGAGTTTAAACCAGTTTTGTATTTTCGCAAATTCTGCTTGCATTTTCTCTAACATTTATTCTAGATCTTTTCCCGAACAAAAAAGTTGTATCATCAGCGAACAAAATGCATTTAAATAATACTGACACAGTGAACAAGTCATTCACATATAGGATAAACAATTTGGTCCAAGAACAGAACCCTGAGGAACTCCACATGTGATTCCACAGAGTTCAGATCTTACATCATGTACTTGTACAAACTGTTTCCTATATTCCAAATAACTAGATATCCACTGTAATGCTGGTCCTCTAAACCAGTGTTTCCCAAAGTTGGGGTCGGGACCCAAAGTGGGGTCCCGAAACATCAAGGTGGGGTCCTGAAAAGATTTTCAGAATTAATTACATTTTTGGCTTAGTTGTTACAAAAGGATTGAGGTTAGTGTATTTAAAATGGATAAATGTAGTATAAAA